GAATCAGGAGACTTTGGTTCTCAGTTCTGCCTTACTTCTGGGCTATGCTATTTAAGGTTGTGCCCTGACCTTCCTTGTAGCTAAGTACTGACCAGACACACTGTGGAAGCAGCATCTTCATGAGACTGCCTCAGGGTAACACCATCCTCTCCTACATTGATTTTTCTCAAATTATTTTCAACTATTTAACTACATGAATATAAAGTGGTTGAGGAAACCAAACTGTCCCCCTAGTATCTACGATAAAACCCGCGGGAGAGAGACAACAATATTTCTAAGTATTTGATACACTTGTACCCTGAACAGAAGGATGCTAGCTTCGAGGCTGTGTCCCAAACACAGCCTTCCTCACCATCAAGTAACACAGCACCACATGCTCCCAGCAGTGTTCAAAAGCACTGCTACAACTGCAGGAAAATGGAACCAGAAAGAGAGAGGTGGGAAGTAAGAAGAAAGCCCTGTCTTCCATAATGTTCTGGACTCCTCAAGCCAGGCGCACTCCAGGGATGCAAGCAGGCTTTTCAACATGTAGTAGGAAGGCCTTCTTCAGCTAACTAGAAGAAACTTTACATTCATAGGCTTTGGTCCTCATGGAGGACTTTCACCGTCCTCGTATCTGCTGTAGGAACAACACAGCAGGGCACAAGCAATCCAAGAGGTTTCCTGAGTGCGTTAGTAAGTTCCTGACATACATGACTGAATAACCAACAAGGGGAAATGCTATAAAGACCTGATTCTTACAGACATGGAAGAACTAGCTAGGGCATCCTGGCATCCTTGCCTGCAGTGTCTGAGACTGTGGAGTTCATTGATCCTGAGAGGAGGGTGCAAGACACGAAGCAGGATGACAATCCTGGACTTCAAAAGAGCAAATATTAGACTGTTCAGGGATCTGCTTGGTACAATACCATTGGATACAGCCCTCAAAAGAAGAGGGATCTAGAGGAGCTCAGTGATTTTCTAAGATCTCCTCTTCCATGCTCAGGAACAGTCCATCCCAACGCCACCACTACCATTCCATCCAACCCCGCTACTGTGAGCTGAAAATTAATTCCTGCACATCTGCTAGCACCCTTATGTTTACAATGAATTAAAACTAATTAAAACTGAGCAGAATGTAGACTACAGATGAAGAAAATAAGCTTGTACACATCTTGCCAGGTAAAGAACAGAGCATTAACTGACTTTTTAAACATAGTTATGTGCAAGTAAGATACTGCCCTTCAATGTTGCATGTGCAAGGAACACCTACCACAGAAAAGCCAACTTGTTTTCATCTCATAAAACACATTTGCTATGAAATTTCTACCAACAAACCCCAACCGTAAGTAGGCAAAATCCAGGTTGCTAACTCAAAGCAATTTAAAAAAGTAAATGGAACAGTTGTGGCTATCTGCACTACAGACCCATGGGACTAGACTATTTAATACGTAGCTACTAGGATAACAACAGCACCAAAACTGGAGTCGTTTCTTCAGTCCTATATGTAAATTGCTCAGTGCAGTTTAAAGTGCTGAAAGCAAAAGTAAGTACAACACAACTCAAAGCACAAATCTTACAGCATAGTCAACAGTGGCAGAATCCTTGTTCTTTAGAGAAAAACAGTTTCAAGTTTACATCTGTGTGCATCTACTGAAGCACTATGAAGAAAGGACTTTTTAGCCAACCTAGCATTTGGATAATTGAACTTGAAGGCATTTAACAGATGGATACAAGCAGAGTTTTGGTAACTATTTAGATTCAGCCATCTGCATGCTACCTATGCACAATGATCTGCTATTATTTAGAGTCAATACACTGTAAACAATTATTCCAACAAAACTTCAATGAAAGCAAATCATGATTAGCACAGTGGATTCCCAAAGCACCAAAAGCGAGAGCAGCAAGACATACAAAGACTGGATGGAGAACATGAGGCTAAGTTGCCTATTTAGTAGCTACGAAGTGAATGTGCTACTGTTTTCTGAACACCCAGTGCGGAAGTTACAGTACGGATAGCTAATCCCCATTCCTCATCAAAACAGACAGGAATGCACACTGGATAATTTGTTCCTACTGATGATATCATTCTGTTAAGTTTAGTGTTTTTAATCATGAGTAAGTTTCAGCCTTCTCTCACTTTCTCCCATGCACAAGATCAGATCAGCCTCTCAGTGACCTACTTTATGAGTCATAATCCTCACTATTTATGATTCAGAAAAACGTCTTCTCTGACAGTATTTCCCAGACTACCGTGGGTTCATTCCAAGAACCAATTTCATCTTCATTGGTTTCCTACAGGAAACCAGACCAACTTCCTATTATTTTGTTTTCCTTCATTTCAGCATGGGCTCACATAAAACTAACTGGAAGTGAGAGCACTAGAAAAAAAAAAAACTTTATTCTACATAAACACAAGCCAACATAAACACAACCAAAAAAAAATACTGAAGACGTCACTGGTTGAAAGTGACCTGAATGTGAAGCAAACTATGATTAGAAGACTTTTTCTTCCTTCCCCAAACACCATGCATGCAGGTAGAAGGGGTAAATTTACATAAGCAAAGTTTAAGGGCAAGAAATGTTCGGTTTGGAGTGAAGACATTCACTTCTAACAGGTTTTCAAGTTCTCACCCCTCTCCTCTTCTAACACTGGGAATTGTTTTAAAACTGTAAAGACTGTTGGACAGCTTTTAGGTACTATCAGTACCATAGTGCAGTCCCCCAGTCAGCTCTGTCAGGCTTGGGGTACCTAGGTTCTTCCCCTAACTACAAAAGCAGAAGCACCCCCTAAAGAAGCCCCTGCCTAGACTTCACCTACAGTGCAGCAGGGCTTCTTAACATTGTTTAAATATTGGTCTGCTGCACTCAAGCTAGCTTCTGAAAAAGCTGTTTTGACGTCCCTTCACTGTGCTCCAAGGCGCTTTGGATCTCTAAAAACCAAGACTCAGCGCCAGATCCACACGGGCTCAGAAAGTTCATCCAGTGAAATACTTGAGGAATCAACTTTCCCAGAGCCCATGGCAGCGTTATGCAAGAACCTATTGCTGCATAACCACCACCACCCCTTTACTACCTCCCAGTGCTGTGATTTGAGCTGCTGGCAGATGCAGCAAGCATATGGATATAGTTTGGGTCTAGAACATCAGAACCATGTTAACAAGCCCTAGGGGCAGAAGCCAATTCCACAGAGATTGTTAACCAACGCACTGGTTTAAGAAGCAAAGTGCTGGAACACCCAACCATAGGCTGCAAATAACTTGCAAGTTTTGCTGGTTCAGGTTTCATTCTGCAAAGCAGCAGATAAACTGTCTTCTGGACCAGAGCTGCCCTTGGAGTCATGTAGCCTTGTTCCTACGATGCTGTACCCAAGCTAATAAACCTAACCAGTTCCATGTGTAGCACAGAGCAAACTGGATAATTCAATCATGCAAGCAATTTGAAAGCAAGATTATTCCCATTTCATCTCTATATTCTGCCGTGTGCCTTGTCAATAACTGGAGTCTTTCAGCATGATTTCCTCATGGGTTTCCAGGCTTGCGGATTGATAGGAGCAACACATTGCTTTTTGTAGGAAGGCTGACTTACAAAACTGAAGCCAAACTCATTTTCATAAAGCTAAATGCTCCTTCAGTTTTCCCCTCAAGAGAGGCTAGGGAATTTTACTGCTTAAGAATACATTCTGTTGTGGTTTAACCCAACAGGCAGCTAAGCACCACACAGCCATTCACTCACCTCCCCCGGGTGGGATGGGTGAGAGAATCTGCAAAAAAGGTAAAACTTGTCAGTTGAGATAAAGACAGTTTAATAGGACAGAAAAGGATGGTAAATTAATAAAAATAATAGAATACACAAAGCAAGAGATGCACAATGCACTTGCCCATCACCTGTTGACCAATGCCCAGCCAGTCCTGAAGCAGCAGCAGTTCCCTGCCCATCCAGCTCCCCCCAGTTTTATTGCTCATCACGATACCACACAGTGCAGGATATCCCCTTGGCCAGTTTGAGTCAGCTGAACTGGTTCCCTTCTCCCACAGCTTCTTGTGTAGCCCCAGCCTCCTCCTGGCAGGGCAGCGTGAGAAGCTGGAAAGTACTTTACTCAGTGTAAGTACTACTCAGAAACAACTAAAACATTGGTTGTTATCAGCATTATTCTCATCCCAAATCCAAAACACAGCACCATACCAGCTACTAGGAAGAAAATTAACTCTATCCCAGCTGAAACCAGGACACTTTCCTATTGCACACATTTAGGAAGGATGTAAGCATAACAATTTGCTACTTGGCCATCAGTTTTAGTTCGTAATCACAACATGGAGTCTGAATGAGGTTTTGCAAGTTTACCCATTAGTGAAATGAGTTGAAAATAAAGCAATATAGCCTAACATATGCAAAATGCAAATGGAAGTTCTCTGCTCTACTGTTCATACTCCATTGTGATACTGCAGTATTTGCCCTAGTCGAGTACTTTTTGTTTCAGTTTATAGAACTTGACTTTCCATTCAAAAGTAGTAATAATGCCATAAGTGGTAGCAAAGCTGTTTTCTCTCTCTATAGGTCAGTCTTTCAAAAAATACCATGTGCATGAAAACTCGTATATGTGAAGCACTTCTGCAAGTGACAGATATATGCATCAATTTTAATGCAAATAGAATAATGTGGTTCTAACCATAGTCTGGACCTAGCTATATATTGTACAACTTTTCCACTAGGGTTGATCTGTGGCATGCTGTGCAGCAGAAGTTGTTTCAAACAGTAGAAAAATCAGACTTCTAAACCTAGAGATTTTGTTGATAGTGGTAATTTAACCCCACCAATTCTGATATTATATATTCTGTACCAAAACTCACTGCAATAATTCAGCACCACAGAAAACACAACTATCTTGATTTAAGGCAATATTTAAAATGTTAAAGTGTTGTTAAAATTGTTATAAATGCTGCAGGCCAAAACAATCAAAGCAGTATACCACCAGTGGCAGTAATGAACATTCTTCATTTTCAGTGCTAGACATTACTTACCTTAACATGGCTCTGAGCTCCCAGGTTGTATATCTCAGTGGGTTTGACTTCATTAATGATCTTCACCAGGCAGGTGCTGTCCGTGAGGTCACCATAGTGCAGCTTCATGTCTTCAGAGTTTAAGAACACACCATTAATACACTTTAATGCCAAAACAATACAGCATTCTTGGTCCAGACCCTATTCCAAGTTTAAAGTCCAAATAAACACTTATCGGTAAAAGTTAAGAGAACATTGGATAAGTAAAATTTTGCTTTTCTTCTTCTTTAGGCACAGTATTGATATCCCTGCAGGAGTAATAAATATCATTTTAGATTATCTTCTGAATAATATGATTTACCTAGCAACATTTACATCATCTCTTCAATAGCTTACACTTCATTAACCCAAGTTATATAAATTTGATCAATGTCATACTGAATTTCAACCACACACACAAAAAAAGAGCATTCTAGATTGGGGCTTCCTATCTTTCTTCTGCAGACATTTTTATGAACTTAAGCATACACGACAGCTTTCTCCTCCTTACCAAATGATACCTATGTTTAAGCCCCTCACTGAAAATAATTTCATAACACAGCTACCAAAAAAAGGTACAAAAATGCCTAGGCTTCCTGTAAGGTGAACATTTAGGTGACATTAATGTACAATTACGGTGACATTAATGTACAATTCAGTGCATGACAACTGATTTTGTATTTTCCAGATCTCGATACACAGTGGAAAGTTATTTCAGAGAAAACTGTAACTATCAATAAAACATTCTTCATAGCATTACACATAAGTCTCAAATGTAGTTAGTCAGGCAGCCATTGTTTAGATCTTTCCTGATTGAGTTTCTAATTTGTGTGTGAAAAAGTGCATAAGAACATGAGTACACTCCCTGTAAAAATTAATACAGTGCGTTGCAATGGCTTATTAACTTGTCCTTGGTTTCATTACTAGCCTGTCAAGACCTCATCCAAAAGTGAAATTCATTCTGATAAAAATAGAACTTACTTCCTCTTTAAAAACAAGCAAACAAATTATATCACCACACTGCTACTCATATATTTATTCAAAAAAAAAGAAAAATGTTGCAACTATAGATGAATTAGCCTTTACACTTAGATGCCATATTTACATTTATTTTCATTTGATAATGTTTTTGACTGTATTCAATTTATGTTCACATTTCCTTTTTATCTTGGAGATAAGATCATATTTCAGCACAATTCAGCTATCTTCTCAGTTGACGATGATCACTTTTTTAGGGGCAGAATCATCCATAGATGTAACCATCTTTCAACCCCCAAACTAAAACACAAGGTTTATTATGAGAGACCACAATTTTTAAAACGTTGTTCAGATATGCCAGTTGTGTTTTTAAGCTGGCGCTTTTTCTTTTAAATAGTTTAAGAAGGCAAGTAACAGGTCACGGTTCTCAGGTGTTCAGTTTTGTACATTCCTCCTGTTTCAACAGGTGATTAAGGCTCTTCAAGTTGATAAAGTCATGGGGTCCAACAGGCCACAATATATTCCTGAAATCTGCTTGCACGTCTGCATTGCTTGAAAAAAGATAGTTCTGAAAAAGACTTCAGACCCAGTTGAAACTGTGGCTAACAAGTAAGACACATTATCATTCTCTTAAAAAAATAACTGACTACATTTGAGGGATGGCAAGCAGCTCTCTGCATACATATCCATTAACCACAATGTGGACTACCTTCATTACTGCCACTAATTCTACGTGAAAGAACCACACCATATTTCCACTTGCAAGGAATTCAACTCTTCTGCTTCCAAAACGAAATTCAAGTTCTGCCCATGGAGTGTAGCATGCACAACATCCCAAACAGTTGTAAAACAAAAACATTTGGATATTGATGTTAATCTATAATCCTCAAAACTGTTGGTGTTCAGATCACTGTAAGGACTGCTGTATTTCTTTTTTCTTGCAACACTGAATAGAGACCACTAGCAAGCATTACTTAAGTGGTTTCTCCGATGGCAGTTCCTACTTTTTTCAAGACTACTCCATGGGCTGGTGGGAGCAGTGAAGAATTGAAATGCACCAGAAAAGAAAGCTTCCCCTAAGCAACAGGGGCAGTCCTGTTTTCCTCTACTTATTTCATCTGGGAGTTAAATGCAATCTCCCTGAGTGCTGGACCAGCCTTCTGGAGAGAAGGCTTTGGAGAAAGATGCCATCACAAGAAGAGGCTCCAGATCTGAAAAAGTGGCTTCCTCCCCAGGCTCAGCAGCAGCAGAGCAAAAAAGAGGTGCCACAGAAGAGCTCCCTCTTCATATGCTAAGGACATCCACTTCTGCCATCATCCCCAGGCCAGAGAGCGGTCTTGGAGCTTCCCAAAGGGAAGGGGGGCTGTCAGCTGGGTTGAGCTAAGCAGAGATGCTCTCCCATGGTTAATTTATATTTAAAGCTCTCACTGTGTGCCTATTTTGGTCTACCATCATCCTCAAAGTTTCTTGGTTGAATGCCTTTTTTGAAGGGTAGGTCTCGTTCATTTTCTGACCCATGAGAAAAAGAGGTCTTTCAAGAGTAATATGCTAAGTGGGAAGACCTACTAGAAATGGGGTTTACTGGGTGCAAAGACTCATAAATACAGATTAAATGTCAACACCTTTGGGTAAGCAGTGGTAGACATTAATAAAGTTGTTAACAAAGTTGTCCAATCTAAAAGCCTCCTCATCAAGCAGTAGCTGCAGGGCTTGCTTCTGGGAACCTTGTTTGCCTTCCTGTTTTTCCTGCTTTTTTGGGATGAAGAGAATCACTGTCTATGAAGATCATCTACCCCCTGCGATGTGTAATCAGTTCTTCATGGGAAGAACACATGGCAAACAAGTTTAGAGTTTGTTCACATCAACTACTATTGCTTCTTTGCTTCCTCTACTACTGCCTGGAAACTCATTGTTTCAAGCCAGTTGCCATGGAGCAGCCTTTCCTGAGATTCCAAATGCAATTCCTCCTCTTTCAATTCACATGGCTACATTCTTCAGTTAAAGGAAAATGAGATAAGTGGGGTGAAACACTTCAGGTCTGCTTTCTTTGTTCCCTTCTTCTATCCCTTTCCTTAAATGTTTGTATGCATACTATTTGTGATATGCATTTTCTTCTCAAATCACTTTTCATACTCACAAGATGGTCCTCACAATATATAGGCTCTTTTATTCATTTATTTACTTATTTAGCCTGATTTTACCTTGTAAGCCATAAATTTAAGTCATGGGATACAGTTCTTACGTTTCTCTTGTTGGAAACACAGGGTTCAGTATTCTTCATGAAGATATTTTAAGCAGCAATGTACAGTAAGTAGTAACTATTCACAGTGAATTCCACTGAAGTCATGTCCAAAACATTTTTTAAAGAGACATGCAAAGAATCAAGTCAAATCTAAAAGCCACATTATTTGTTACAATTTGTTAAATTATGTTCTGTTGGACCATGGTGGGAAGCAGACTTCAAAAGACATGAGATTTGCTTATGGCACAGAGATATTTAGCGATAACACCTCAAATGGGAAGGCTTTCTTTAAGGCAGCGTCAGCATGCACAACTTTACAAAATGTGCACAGCACGAAGAACTACATTTTCATTCAAAAACTCAGCCAAACGTCCAAACGTCTGCTGAACCGGAACCATGCAATAATTTTTCTCCTCATTAAACAAAGAGTTAACCTCTCCTTACAGTAAAATACCTTGAAACAATTGAGTGTGCACTAAAGTGTAATCATTTCTGATCTCCAAATTATCAGCAAAGTGCACAGTAAATTATTTTCAGCAAATTTCTAGGCGTAATGCTTTTCCATCAGGAAAAATGGGTACTCCTTTCCTTGGACGGGGACATTTTGAAGGTTTGAGCATTCATTCTTTCTGTCATCAGGAAGAATTGATCACATTTTATTTATGTCACAAAAGGCTGTCCTCAGACCTCCGTCAGATACTAAGAAGCTCATGATGAAACAAGTGGGGTGAAGAACATCAATAACATTTTACCCCTCCAAGAAGGTTCATGCAATAAATAGGAGGTTGCTGGGTGAACTGAAGAACCAAATAAATGCATCTTCTTGATACAAGTTGTTCTAGAAATAGTTCTGAGGAGAGCCCACTAACATATCATGTTATTCTCTTACTGTCTCTCTTACTGTACAATATTTTGTACTGTGTGAGTGGGACTAGCTCCATTGTGAAGTCAAAATCCATCTGCCAAAATATGGCCCAGAAACTATGAAGGGAGACCACAAAACTAAAAGAAAACTAGCAATTAAACAAACACCTATTTAAACATGAGATTTCATGCTGTCAGTGATGCAAAAGCCTATTTAGCTGCATCAATAACATACTGATAAATGATTTTTAGGTAAAATGTTTAAGATACCTGCCTCAAACATTTTAGCGTTCCAATATCTCAATGTTTTCAAACTTCTATAGCTCTTTGGAGGGCCAGCCACTTTGTAATTGCTACAATTTATGCAAGAACCACATCAGTATTTCTGTATAACAGAAAGTGTCTTCCTGTGCCCTTCATGTTTTCCCCTCTTGGTAATACACCAACACAAATGTATATACTTTGCCACATTTTGATCATAGAAAAATAATTACTTTCCTGAGATAGAAGCTAACGTAACAGGAGGCTTAGCTATTAAGTGTTTTTTTGTTGTTTGTTTGTTGTTTTTTGTTTTTTTCAAACAACAAATCCTATATGAAGCATGGCTTAAAAATAACTACTCGTTAATTCAATTCAGTCAGAGGAAACTGGGATTCCCTTCCTGCGTCTGGGAACCTTTCTTCACCAAACAAGCAGACTAAAAAAGCATTAAATATAAAAACAAAGTCTTACTTCCTTCAGTGTGAGCCCGCGGATTCTTATAGAGATGTTCAATCCGGCCTGTATTAAAGGAACTGGATCGACGAACGATTCCATGCACCTGGGGGTTAAACAAGGAAAAATATAAAAGGAAATAGTAAACATAAGAGGGGTAAATGATTTAAACTTCAAAACTTTTATGTTTGCAGTTTTGTGATATTTTAAGAACAGGAGACCCATCATCTCTTCCTTCAGACACATGTACCTTGTCCTTCGATCAGGTAATCAGTTCACCTCCATTCCTAATGGCAGACCTTTACAGTCCAAATCTTAACAAAATACTTTGAGATGTGTTCTGATGATGTCATTTATTTTAGTACCCTTGAGCGGTTTCACCTTCTCCCTTGTTGACACCACTAGCAGCCCAAGCATCACACACAGTACAGAAAACCCACTGAATTGCCCAGGAGAACCGTATCTCCTAGTGAGCTGAACTCGCCAACATCAGTAGAGTTGGAGAAGCAACGTGTGGATCCCAAGATAACTACTTCTACCTGCTTACAGAGAAGCCTTTCTGGAGTCAAAGGTGACAGGCATGAAAAAAGCAGGAGTTGTAACTAGGAAAAGGAAAAAGGTGGGCAGAGAGGAGAGGAGGGAAGAAAGTAAGGAAGAAAGTGCAGCAGCAGCAAGGCCCAAATATATTTTAGAAAACAGCGGTTATTCACTCTCTGGTGTCTTGGAAGAACAGACAGAACAGTCAGTCCTATTTTTTGCACTTCATGAGTCAGTGTTCTCAGATGGGTTACAAGACACACAGGCAAGTCTAAGACTGCAACACAGGTTGGGAATTTCCTTTAACCAGCCACGATAAATAAGTTGGTAAAAAAGCAGCGCTTCTGACTAATGTTAAAAGAAAAGCCTGTTTGTGCCTAATACATTAGATAAATTGTTCTAACACAGATCCTGTTCCTCCTTATGTAAGATAGCCTCATGCTTGCTGCCAAATTCATGTTAGCTTAGGTTACCTGCTCTAGCAATTGTGTTTGCACAAGTGAAATCAAGCTTCAACATCTTACTGTCCTCCACTTCTCACCATCCTTCATTTCTGAGGGTGATCCTTTTACAATTTGAGGCATTCAAAGCTTGGTTAAGTTGGTCCACCACTTCAGGCTCACTTCATGTTAACTTTACTTTCCTGCTGGTGAGAATACACCAGCAGGAAGAGCTGGTGCGCTGTTTTGGTTTTGTGTTTTGTTTTTGTTTTACACATGGCACAAGCTACAGTTATTTACACAGAGCACACTTTATTCCATCTTAAGTCTGAAATTTAACTGAAAAAAATAAAAGGTATTTACAACCTCAGAGTGAGACCAGCTTGCTGCTTTATGAATGACATTTCAGTGACAAGGTCTGTAATTATAGCTGAACAGATTCACCTTTACAACTTGCACATCAGATCTATGATGCAATTTCCTTGCATTAAATTTCTATTGCCCAGCTACACCACAGGCTCATAACATAGCTTGTTCCAGCATTCAAACGCTAAACATCCTGCAACCAAGCAGAATACCTATTTCTTGAAGATCAACAGGGAACTGAGATACATGGCCACAAAAAAATGAAAAATTGTTTCCCAAACAATGAATGTATCAATGTACGTTTTAAGTTCTGTACTTAAAACCGCCATCGAGATAATTCCTGGATTGTGTGGACGATTTGTAGGGACATATGGTGTATAGAGAAATGTTTTCAAACATGACACCTCCATAACAACTTCACTTTTGCAAAAGATGCTGGTAATGCTTTGATTACTGAAATGAACATCCGTTTTGCTCAGCAAAACAAGACTTCACCATTTTACAGTATCAAGTTATTCAGAAGGAAGTTAACCAAAATACTTCAACTGTCCTAGCAAAATCAGACATTTTAGCCTAAAATCCAGATGAGGTCTCTGATGTCTCAATTCTCTCTGAATTAAATCATGCTGAAAATCAAGTTCACACAAATGATTGACCAATAAGTCAGACCTTGCCAGCTCAACGCTTGATGAAAGATTGCACTTGCAAGAGCTTTGAGTCAGCTGAATGACTGCGATACCAACATTTGACCAATGAGATGTGTTAAATGCAATCACCCCAGGACTTCAAAATGCTTCAAACAAATCCAGGGAGCCTCTTGCATCCAGCAATTACAAGAAAACAACCCCAGCTTTTTTTTTTTTTTTTTTAACCTCCCACTCCTTTTTCTGGTATGCACATACAAGAGAAAGAAAGCCTGCCAAATGCTTAATCCATGACAGCAATATTACTGTAAAAAATGATGAAAGGTACCTTTGTCTGCATGGGACAGGTGAAATGCAAACTTTGTGACAAGCCAAAATGTGTGCAAACAGGTTAATCTAGTTAAGAATGTAAGATCGGTGGATTTTCTCTCAATAGGACTTGATTTTTAGATAGATCACAATTAAAAAAATGAACAGTAAAACAAATGACCTTGGTTAGGGAGGCAATCAATCAGTTATCACATTTACCCCAGCATTGAGTTATTCAGGAACTGAGGTTTCCAGCTAGGAACACAATAAAGAATTTCAACAAACAGATGGAGATTTGAGGAACAAAAAGGAAAAACCCTCTACCCTCTTATTGTAATCTTGCTACTATGAAAAAGATCCATATATTTCCGTATGGGGTCAATTAATATTTCATTTTAGTTGCAGTTAGCAGTTCTCATTTCATCATGGACTAGGAAAAGAGCACATGCTTTTATCTGTAAGACAGCAGAAGCTACCACAATGATACTTCTCATCCCCAAGTGGAATGGAGAAATAATAAAAATAATCTATTTACAACACTGGAAAACCAGTAATTGGATCAATCAACAAATGCAGCAGAAAGAATTTAATGAGCAAGGCAAGAGTAACCATGTGCGAAAGCACGCCAAGTGCTGACCTGCTGAGAAGTCTTCTTACTAAGCAACAAAGCAATGTTACAACAGACATAATTAGCCAATATTAGCAAGCATTAAACTTTTACTGACCCAGAAAATACTCCATTGTGAAGAGATTAATTTGACCATCCCTTTTCTTCCTTTCTCTTCTACTATCATACCTCTTTAAGCATCTTTCATGACTAATTTGGCTAGCATTTTCAGACATATGTCCACAGCAGTTCAAACCCACTGAATCATTCCATAATTATGTGATTGTTCCACTGGTGGTCCACAGAAAAAAAAAAAAGTGTGACTGGCAGGTTAAGTTACATGGTAGGAAATAATCTGATTCCCTTTATTTTAAGGGAAAGGTCAATAAAATCATTTGCTAAGCAAGAATATAACGAAAGCAAAATGCAAGGTTTTCATTAAAGTACGGCTGCTGAAATAAGAGGGCCGTTAGTGTCGAGAGAGACAAAAAGAACAAGAGATCCTTATTCCTTTATGTGGTGCATTGCATCATAAATTATTCCCTAATTCCTTACGGTTTTGGCTCACACAGGTTACTGCTTATCTGAGTTGGCGGGAAACATGCAAAGCAGCTATACCCTGAGGAGGAGAGGGAATCCACCAGTGGACGTTAGGATGATAAATAGTACAATAAGCTGGCATGATTACAGGCCGTGTTGCACATTCCTCTCTGGAGTTTTGATTTGTTATCTAGGGTTGAGTGGAAAACATACACAGAGGACAGAAGCAAAGGAAGCTAGAGCAGCGGCATCCAAGTGATTCCATCAGCCTGCAGTTGGTCACCGAGTCACTCACCTCGTAGCCTTTTTCCAGCAGGAACTCAGCCAAGTACGATCCATCCTGGGAAGAGAAAGATATAGGAAAGTGTTAGAAACACAGTGAATGGGCCTGGGAGATTTGGACTGGTTACTCTCTCAAAAAAAGGGAAGAAAAATTTTGCAATGAGTTGACTGAATAGAAAACATATACTTTGACTTCCCTAGATTTATGCACTGACCTAGAATGCTAGAGATGCTTTTTGGTTAATTTTAGATTAAGAAGCAGTATATTTTAAAATAACTTGCTTACAAACGCTGGTTGAGAACTCCTGTCTCTTGAATCTCTTCCCAAGTTCCATTATAAAGTGTCTGGGGACATCTTTCCAAAATATCCTAACCGCAGCAGTTACTGAATTTGAACTATTTTGGAGATAGGGAAGGAAAAACATTCTAAAGTTTAGTGCACTGACAACGCACCAATAGGTTTCTGTAGCACCATGTCACACACATCTCTGTGCTCACACTCCTTCCATAAGCAGTCTAAAGAGCAATCATTCTGCTTGACCTACTGAGTTTTTCAAAAAACATCCCTAGCACACTTCATATTTATATTACTGAATACAGGCCACTACCATGATTTGTATATCATTGAGGGTAGAGAGATGTTCCCCCTCTCTCCTCTCCTTTTTGAATGCCTGTCAAAAAAAATTACAAAACTCCCCAATAGCAAATGCTTCAAAGCACGTGTTTTCCTGAAAGAAAATGATTTTCCTGGCATCGCTATTGCCAGGATTTCAAAATACAGAAAGTCACATTATCCTCAAATTTATATGTACCATCACAAATCCAGCAAAGTTCACCCCTCTGGAATGAGGGCTAACCAATGCAGTGAATATCAGTCGTGCCCATAGTCTGTTTCTTTTGCTTTCTTGAATTAATTGTTTCCTTTAATAATGTGAGAGCATTCCAGAGTCAATTGCCTTGCCTCAGGAACGCCATAAAAACATGGAATACCACCTTTGCTCACATGCTTAAGCTCTGTTATGTGCATCTGCCCTGACATGATCCTGGCCAGAGACACCAAAGTACAAAACTGAACACACAGCTCTTTGGTCCTCTTTTTTTTTTTTTTTTTTTTGTTTGTTTGTTTGTTGTGTTTTTTTTTTTTTTTTAAACCATCTTTCTAGATAGCAACCTCTCACCCAAGATTAAATGAACTTTTCTCATCTCAGACTGCCTAAGGAGAATAACAAAATGAAGAAAGAAATTTGAGAAGCACCAGGAGGCCCTAAAGCAGCAGGATGGCCTATGGAGGGTAGTACGTTGATGGCAAAATCATGCTTAAATCGAAACACAATGGCAGGGTACAGGGTACTACTGTGTGTTTAAAACTCCAGCATTGCTGAAATTAAAGCCTTGATGGTGCAAATGCTTCGAAGTCTTACACAGCCTAGAAGAGCCTAAAACCACAGAAGTCTCAGCTTACACGTACTCCTCCCAATGTACGTACAATGTGCATGTGCTCACAGCTTCCTACTCGCAACTTCCCAGTGCCTGTAACCAGAACGGACCATGGCACTGGTTGATCTGGAACAAACAAGCCATGTGTGCCATGGAATCAGCGGAACAGTATGTGCTCCTGGACGTCACACAGAACAAGATCCCATTGAAGGGAGAAGCAAAGAAAGGGCAATGGAAACTCTGGAGAAATACGTGGTTGGGCCCAAAAGCCTTTCAAGTAGTTGTTTCTCTTAGTAAATACCCCAGGATTTAGCAGAGGTGGATCAGGGAAAACTCCCTAAGACCCCTTGGTTATGCATTGGACCAAACTAAACAAAAAGGAGGTGAAAGTGGGAAACCCAGAGAGTGCAAAGGAGATGAAGAAAGAAAGGCTGTGATTGCTTAGGAAGTTGACGTGAAACAGACTCGACTAGGATTGAACCCTGTCAATAAGGTCTTGTTCTTCTCACCCGGGCCATTGCTCAGACTTTCCAATCGCACTGGAACATTTTGAACCAGCAGTGGCATTTGCTTCCTCTGTGCTTCCTTTCCAGGTCTATCAAGTGATAGGGCAGGGCTTCACAATGAGTGGGAAACAGGCAGCAAGTGTGAAAGCTACTGGTTTCTGGCTGTAGCACGGCACAGCTGATTTACTGTCTGCTAATCGCACACAATGCAGATTCGAGCTGTCCTGCACTATGACACATTATCACAGAAAGCCCCCAACTTTCACATTTCCCTTCCTTTTCTTTTCAGTATAGCAGCTGTCAGTAAGAATGGTAATCAGAACAGCAAAGTGCCTAAGAGTTTGCAGCTTGTAAGGACAGCAGCTTCAATCTTTTCCTAACAGGATCAAGGAGCTATGAATTATTAAGCAAGCTCTGTTAAGTGGTTTAAGCCTACGTTATGCATATAAATTCTAATACTGAAGCTATGAATTTTGACTTATACTACAGAGCTTTCAGCGTTCCAGGATCACTAAACCAGGAAAGGAGCATTAAGGGAACGTGGTAATTAGCAAGAAAGTTCAATTTTTGTTAGAGGTAGCAGCTTTTGCTTCGAGTCACAAAGCCTCAGAAGACAGAAGTACTTCCCTTTGTGGAAAAAAAAAATAAAATCCATTTTAATAAAAGACAATAGGCTATAAACTACTTTAGGTAGAATCGTAGAGAGACCTGGCTCCAGACCATTTTGAACAGTCAAAACAGTTTGACAAGACTGGTTACATAAACCGCCTCAGTTAAAGCAGTTCTTCATCAGCACACTGACATATCAGACTTGAAGAATCACTTCACCACCTTCAGCCAAAGAAGCTTGAAAGCATATGCAAAGAATGATACTTAGCTGGCTTCCAATACACAGCAGCAGGCTTCCAACTGCAGCTGTCTTACAACATGTCTGTAAAATTCCCAGACAAAAGAAAACAGTCATATAAACTAGAGTGAGACAACCTTAGGATGCAATATTTTATATTTAATACAGTAGTTAATGTCAAGAACTTCAATAAACTTTGACGTGCTATCAAAGAAAACCCCTTCCAACAGAGCAAAGAAATTGAGACATATACAAGAGTTAGAGCCTTACCACAAACATCTAAAATAAAAGTAACATTTGACTTGATCTATGAGCAAAGAATAGGATCATTTATACAGAAAACTGAAAGTAAGGGGAATTAAATAGCCTGTTTAACTATCCAAGTCTCCTCTATTTTGTACTGTTCTTCACAGGGAAATCGCATTTGTACCCATGGACTAATTTCAAACATACTGACACATTCAGATAAGGCTGTAAAAGCAATCCCAAATGCAAGACATCTTCCTTTGATGTGACCAGTTCCAGTAACCTCCCACAGAGTTCCTGGAATCAAGAACTAAGCTACACATCCTACCTGAACGTTTGTAATTTAGAGAGGAATCCTCCTTCCCTACAGCTCCTTTCTACTAAAGAAAGAGAAGCAGAAAGCACCAGACAAACAAGTGAAGAGACATCAGGAGTAGGATATAGAGTTTTCATTACAATTCCTCAAATTCTGTGGGAAAGAACACAGTTGTTTGTTTGTTGCTTTTACAGAAGGACGATAAGGAATTAAAAACCTAATGCAAGTGATGCAGATGTACTATAACCATTACACAAAGAAGAAAGGACTCTCAAAGAAGAGGATTGGGGTGGGGGTATGAACATCTTAGAGGAAATATCTCCACAGTACTGTGGTAAAGATGACATCCCACACAAACATGCAATTTTATAACAAAGCCATACAAACCACTGAGAAATCTTGCTGAAGATCCTAATGAAACTGTCCACCAACAGCCCAGATCTCTACTTGTTTCTAAAACAGAGCAGGTATCAACCAGAACCTGCAAAACCCGGCTCCAGCCCAGAAGAGAGACAGCCACAGAAAAAGCATCACATCATTGGGTAACATAGCAGGGGAGAGAGTCTGAGTACTGTGCTGTCTTCCTTGCTTCTAATGCCTGCCCATCTGCAAATATATTGGCAGTAGAGCCTGAGAACATAAAACACAACAACTTCAGTCAGATGCAGTGTTTGAGGAAGGTATCTTTTTTAAAATTATCATATTATTAAGGTGGGTATGATGAAATATCTATCCACGTCACATGCTTAATAGACCTGCTCTGTACTTTCTGCAGCTCCTCTACCAGGTTTTCAGACTTCCTTTTGGGAAAAAAATGCCATAATTTTCCAACAAAGACCAAAGATAGTTATACTTACAAAGTTCACAGTTGAAAAAGGCTAGTGACATACCCTTAAGAATAAGGCTACAACAGTGAGTTCGTGGCAGTTCAAAATATAGATGGTGTCAATTATCAAAGTCATTCATAACAGTCCCGAACTCCTTTTGAATTACAAGCTATAGCTATGCTCTGAAGTCAAATTTTGATAGGTTTAATTAGCCTGTTCAGGGGAAGGAACATGAAGAGAAGAGGTACAAATTCAGACACAGGACACGGGTTTTTATTTCTTAATTAAAGGATTTTTTTCCACCAACGTTGCACCATCACAATGTTCCTTTATCCTGATTTAAAGGAAAAAATATATACTTTCATTAAGATACATAGAACTGGTGGCACTAGTAGCCTTCTACAAGCTTCATCGAGTTTTAAACTTTCATATAACTATAGACTAATGCTACTTCAGTGACTTAAGTTGGACTGCGGTGACAGATTCTTTGGAGCAGTGAACGTATACCATTCTAAAGCAACATCTAAATGATTTTAATAACAATCCATAATAAAAACTATTCATTTATTTATAGCATGACATAACGGCCTTCTTTCAAAAAAAAAAAAAGAAATCTGAAAGAGTAATACAGTGTAATGTTATTTTTGCTGAAAAATGCATACTTCTAATCGTTTTCAATGATTTATGGAGGAAATAAGTATTTTTTGTAGCTACTATAAACAGAACAGTGCTGGACTTTGTCTCAAGTCTTCAAGGCAGCATTTGAGGTAAAGCATTAAAGCATGCATTAAAAAAATCCTCCATACTGAAAAAAGGAAGAATTATGAACTCTGAAGTTTTTAACTGATTTATTAAAGCTGCCACCCTACAAATGCAGTA